ATATTTGTTTAAAGATATTTTTGGGGCTTTTTAGCCTTTAATGTATAGGACAGACAAGTGTGAAGGGGGGAGAGAGAGGGGGAATGACATGCAGCAAAGGGCCACGGGCTGGAGTCGAGCCCAGGCCGCTGCGGCAACAGCCTTGTACATGGGGCGCCTGCTCTACCACTAAGCCACCGGCGCCCCTAAAAAATAATTTTAATGGTAAATAGGATACCAGAGTGCATAAACATGCATCAAAATAAAGCTTGTTCGTTAAAAAAAATAAATAAATTTTTTTAGGATCCCCCTGGACCCCCCACAGAGGTCCGGACTGAGCCCCCAATGTTCCCAAATCATAGAAACGCCCCTGGCCTCAGTCAGAGGTCATATGTGTTTTATGCTGTATTGCCTTCAGGTGCTCCTCCTAAATGACTATTCCTGTTCACGTTTCTTGCGAAAGCCTTTTTGTGTATTTAACGTTATTGTCATTGTGTTGGTATGTCATTTGCGTAGGCTACTTCACGTGTAGCTCCGACAATTTGGGACTCACACAGAGCTAACTGTAAAGAGTTAATAAAAACACATCCGGTTTGTTAGTTGAGCAATATCTCAAATTTCAGTAAGATTATGAGGATGGTTCCTCAAAGCGACATTTCTTCTTTAAAGCCACAGAAAGGGAACAACCGACAGTGTGTGTGGTTTTTCCGACACTCCCGGCTGCAGCTGGAGGCAGCACGGCTACCTGTCTGTCGGGTCCAGCTGATCTGAGTGAGATGATTCACAGAGGCGTCGACCTGTGTGGACAAACAGAGCCGCTCACAGACCGTGTGTGTGTTTCATCTAATGTAGGCGACCAGCTCCAGTTTCATGTAGGACCTGTCTGGATGGAGGAGACTCTAAAACCGGCGGTAGGTCTCAAATAATTTAACACTTCTTCTGCAGAAAGTCTGAAAATGTGCTCGACGCGTGAGTTTCGTTCAGAGATCAGAGATAACCAGTATCAGCAGCACGTTAAACTGCATGCTGGAACACGTCACACCAGTTTAAAGTGTTTTATATATTACACGTGTGTTATGTCTCTTATTTTTAAAATGTTTTTGCCCTAGAATGAAGAGTAAAACTGTCTTGAATTGTTTTGTTTGTTAGCCAAATAATCCTCTGCCATGTGGTGTCAGCTGCTCAGATCTTAGAGTGTGCGGCTTCGGTCTGTCTTACAATACAAACTGGGCATGTTTGAGGTTGTGGGCTGGTCGTTGGACAAAACCAGCACTTGAAGGGGTGTCACTTTTTGGGGGGGGCCAGGGCTGGCCCTAGGCACTTATGGGTGCCCCAAGCAGGATGTGGTTAAGCACACACACACACACACACACACACACACACACACACAAAAAGCTGCATTTCCACCAAACACTTTAGGTACAGTATCTTTGGAACCAAAAGTGACCCTTCAGACATGGTGCCTAGACCCTAGTGTTTCCACTGCAAACAGTACTGTTACATGTGGGCAGGTTGTTGTCACTCACTGCTCCGTCCAACTCTCACTGTATTTCCTCATTATTGGTGACACAGATGAAAGTCTGCTCCTCGTCCACAGAACAAGGCTGCAAGTCGACATTTTCTTCACAAAATAGAACAGGCTGCAGTGAGAGTCTCGCTCCATGGAATATTTAAAAATAGTGGGTCGTGCATTTAGTCCTTCTGAGGCAAGCTCAGGGGTTTAGTGTTGCTGTAGCCCACAGGAACGACACTCTGCAACACTTTCTTTTTCTCTGAGTGAGGATTGAGATATATACTGTTCACATAACCTGCTTGAAGATCCACTCATTACTAAAAGACTATGTCATATAAAAACTAAAGTAATGGTCAAAGCTGTCACATTAAACTTTAAGGTGTGCTGATGGATTCACGTTGTCAACTCATGCGTTGAGTAACATTGCAAGTGAATGTTATTCAACGTATGAGAAACACTTGTAATGTTACTCATGTGTTGAGTAACATTACAAGTGAATGTTACTCAACACATTAGTAACACTTGTAATGTTACTCATGTGTTGAGTAACATTACAAGTGAATGTCGCCGGCAGTCGGCCCAGTGAATTAAGTTACTTTTTCACTCTGCAGCTGCTGTGAAAGGCAGCAAAACATCCTTTAACTTTATAGTTGCAGTCTATAAATAAAACTCCTCGGTATGAGCAGTGGTTACACGAGCCTCAAAACCAGCTACAGCTCAGCCCTGAGCAGAGCGACCGTGCGCTACTGACCAATCAACAGACTGCAGTGTTCACAGCTCCACCTTTTAGTACCAGATCTATGTGCTAGGTACCCCAACAGAGGGGGGACCAAAAATGGGGACTGTTAGGAACGGTTCACTTGGTACCATCCACAACTTTTCACAGTGGAAACGGAAAGAAAAATGTACCGAATTGTACTGAACCATACCTAATACTCTAATCCAGAGTGGTCTGACCAGACTACATTCTCATATACAGTGCAGGGAAGTTCTTATCTCAGTTTTACATTTCCAACAGCTTCACTCTGTGGAGTCGTAACAGAGTATGATAATATCTATGCAGTGCCTTATGTTGTACGAGTTTCCCCCTCGCTTCTTTCACATACTAACCACATCCTGACACTAATATGACCATCTGTTACCATCACTGTCTTCCCCGAAGTCCCTTTGCTGACTCAGTTAAACACTGAGAGATGTAATGTACAAATAATCACGTGAAGGAGACAGTGAGACCTGTTGGGAGCAACACTATGTTTAAACAGCCTGCAGTAAATACGTATGATTTTTGTTTGTTTTTACGACAGTCCCAGGAGTGCTTGTTTTGCCGGGAAGCTACTTCCCATTTTTAGCGTCACTGAGCTTGTTTTGTCACACAGCATGAAATGTTAAATTTCTATTTAAATGTTATCTCATGTTCATTAAAAAACCTTCTAAACCTTAGTAACTCTAAATATTTCTGTAGATAGGGCCAGCTCTGTCCCTGGAGAATTGTGATGAGCATTTTTAACACTATTTCCTAACATTTTATAGAGACAGTTCACAAAGAGTTAATGCGCCGGCTTTATCAAATCATCGCTGGCAATGAGGCAGTCTTAACAACAACACATCTCTGTTTCTGTGCGTGTGGCCTGAAGTCATGTTCCCTCTGTCTGCTGCTGATGAGTATCTCTACAGACACACTGAAACCACTTTGTTGAATGTTACGTTGACTAAAGCCACAGTTCAGTATAATAATCTATTCTTAAAACAGCAAAAATAGGATCTTTAGACTGTCTTGTGTTTCCATTTTCAGTGTATTATAACATTTGTAGCATCAGGCTGGCTCAGACCAGGGTCTGACAACAACACAGATGTGCTCCATTGACTCTCATTTTCAGGCTGGTTTTGTGGATTTGGAGCTGAATGTTGTGCCTGGAGCACGTCGTGTATTAATGATACTCGTTACCTGGAGAGGTTGGAAAAAGATATACATTTCTTCCCTGTTCCAAAACCAAAATCAGTCCCTGAAAAGTGTAGGGTTAGCTAGCTAGCTACTGAAGATATAGCCTACTGAATGTATACACGTGCTGCTTTTGCTTTTTATGATTATAACAGTGAAACAAAGACCGACCCTGCTGTACAGGAACCAGTAAAGGGAAGCAGGGAAGCTTTGTTGATATTCAACCAGCTCTGTGTCATCACACAACATTGTTTGACTTCCCACCGTTGCCAAACACTGTTCATCTGCACACACTGCGATGCCACACAGCTGGTTCAATATCAGTGAAGTTTCCCTTCATATTCATTGTCTTCTGTGGCGATCAGCAGTGATGTGGTGGTTCACTTTTACACTGTTATCTGTAGCTTTTAGTTTTGCTTTAGCTTCTAACTATCTTTGTCTTTTTAACCTGTTGTTGCTGCTGAGTCAGTTTGACATCCTGGATATATCCTTCAAACACAGACTGTAGACCCCTCTGTCTGCTTCTCTCTGGAATCACTGTTTCATTTCTCCAAAAACATGATAATCTTCTTGTGGTGTCACCATGAATTAAAAGCCTTATATTGATGCACTATAACGTGTTGTTGCACCTCCTGTAGAAGCAGGTACATATACTCACATGTCAGTTTTGTGTCCCCAGCTATGGCCATGGAGAGCAGTGTGTGGAGTCCCTGCGACTACAGCCACAATGTCACCTTCTTCTACAACCTGGTGGGTAAGAAGATCAGCGAAACGTGGTCGCCGCGGGACTTTTTTGTGATCGGACTGGGCTTGACAGTATGTCTCATCGTAGTCTTGGCCAACCTGATGGTGATGGTGGCCATCTTCATGAACCACCGCTTCCACTTCCCCATCTACTATCTCCTGGGCAACATGGCTGCGGCGGACCTGTTTGCTGGTATTGCCTACGCCAACCTGATGTTGAACACGGGCCCCTGGACCAGAACACTCACCAAGGAGCAGTGGTACATCCGCGGGGCTTTGATTGACATCAGCCTGACAGCCTCTGTGGCCAACCTGCTGGCTGTTGCCGTGGAGCGCCACCAGAGTATCATCACCATGCAGCTGCACAGCAAGATGACCAAGCGGCGCGTGGTGCTGCTGATAGTCGGCATTTGGGCTGTAAGCATCATGATGGGCCTGGTGCCCTCCACGTTTTGGAACTGCGAGTGTGATCTGGCTGACTGCTCCACTGTCGCTCCTCTCTACAGCCGCCGCTTCCTCATATTCTGGGCAGTTCTCAACCTGCTCACTTTCCTTATCATGGTGGCCATGTACACACGGATCTTCATCTATGTGAGATACCAGACCTGTTACGCTGCTCAGCACACATCGGAGACGTGGCACAGGCAGACTGTTATCAATCTGATGAAAACCATCTCCATGGTTCTGGGTGAGAAGTTGTTTGTGTTCGACCATCAACTGCTGGATGTTAGTTTTGGGTCAGAAGTTTGTAAGGTTTGGGTTTTAATTAACCATAAAATTAACAGAGGTAGCTCTGGCTCATTTTTAAAATGCACATCTACACTTTTTGTGCAAAATATTAGGGACTTATTTTTGTTTCACTTTGCTTTTCTTGCACATTTGCACAACTCACATTTTAGTTTTCTCACAACAAAAAAATGTATCTGCTATTTAGTTTCTCAGAAGATAAGGTGTAAAGGCTTCCAGCACACCATTTCATGTAAAAAGAAACTGTGTATTAAAGGTATCAGTAGTCTTCTAAATGTGCCTTAACTCAAAGAGCGGTTTCAAAGTATTGCTACATGCGGCCTCCCACTTCCGCCAGAAACCAGTTCTGCAGCTGTCGCCTTGTTTGTTTGTCAGACCTCGTCTGATTACTTGGGGTATATCATGTAAAAAAGCTGGTTAGGAATTTCCAGTGTAACACAAGTGAAATTGAAATGGCATTTCTCCTTGTAATCTACCTCTGATTGTTCAGGTGACTCACCTCCTGCAGGCAAATATTTTCTAACCGGCAGTTAAACTTGATATTAAGCAATTAAGGTACAAAAGTTGCCTAATGTAGCTGCACTTTGAGGCTAACAGCTGTCATATCACATGGCTGTGTTTGTACAAGGTTTAAACTGATTGTTGTTAACAATGCACATCTCTGCAGGCGCCTTCGTAATCTGCTGGATGCCTGGCCTCGTGACCCTCTTACTGGACGGGCTGCTGGGTGAAGCCAGCCACGCCAACGCCTACGAGAAGTTCTGTTTGGTGATAGCAGAGTGCAACTCTCTGGTCAACCCCATCATCTATTCCCTGCGGGATGACGAGATGCGGAGGACGTTCAAGAAGATCCTGTGCTGCCTGTGTCGGAGAGGTGGCGACCAGCAGAGGGAGCTGTCACCTGTCGAGGTTGACTCACCACTGCCAGAGGTACAGTCATAGTACAACCTGTTAACTTTACACCAGAGTTACTTAACTTGCTTTGCCTGGGGACCAATTTTGCAAAAAACAAACAAAAAAAAAAAAAGGACGCTGTGGGCCTAGGATTTGAGGTCAGTCAAGGCTTAGTCTGAACCTCTGTTGGGTCAGGGTGATCCTCTCCTGGGACTTTATTTTAATGCTTTTAATGTCAATCCCAAAATGGCTGAGAGGCCACTCGGCACCCTATCACGGGCCAAATCTGGCCCACAGGCCTTGAGTACCATTGCTTGTTTCCCTCCAAGCACTTTAAAACAGGTGTCACTTTATTTACATCCGTACCTGTGGCCTAGATGAACAAAAAAGGCCCACATTCTGATTATTGCTTTTCTGTTACTGTTTCAGTTTTCAATCACCACACCAGTGCACACGCTGATTTCCAATGTAACATATCAGATACTTTGTACCTGACACGAAAAGGAACCAGCCAATTCCCCTTCTTGATTTCTTTGTTTCATTTTGTTAATCTTTGAGTCATGACTGCTTTTTTTTCATATTTGCAGAAACTGTCACAGTATCAACACGGCACTAAAGGAGACATAATTTGAAAAAAAAAGAAAAAAAAAAAAAACATTCCTCTGCCTACTCTACTCTGAAAACAGCCAATCAAAGCTGAGGAGTCTCAAAGGCAGCTGTCAAGCACTGCTCATGAATTTCAGAAAAAACAAGGCAGTGCTGCTCAAATATGCATTAAGATTGTTTTACTGCATTTCCCGTTTCTCACCTCAAATGTTTTCAGAAACATATTTTAGTGCACTGTTTGGTTGTAAAATGAGAAAGCCGATCCGGTCAGCTGTTTTCAACATGGCTGCCCAGTCACAAATTTTATTTACCAACTAACCAGCACATCAAAATACGCTTCTGAGAACATCTGAGGTGAGAAATAGCAAAGAGTTACTGCCTCAAGCGAGGGAGTTCAAGTATCTTAGGGTCTTGTTCATGTGTGAGGGTAGGACGGAGCACGAGATAGATCAGCGGTTTGGTGCAGCTTCCACAGTGATGAGGACGCTGCGCCGGACCATCGTGGTAAAGAGAAGGCTGAGCCGGAAGGTCCATCTACCTCCCAACCCCCACCTATGGTCATGAGCTCTGGGTAGTGAAAGAAAGAATGAGATCGCGGACTAGCAGCCGAAATGAGTTTCCTCTGTGGGGTGGCTGGGCTCAGCCTTAGAGATAGGGTAAGGAGCTCGGACATCTGGAGGAAGCTCGGAGTAGAGCCGCTGCTCCTTCACGTCGACGGGGTCAGTTGAGGTGGTTCGGGCATCTGATCAGGATGCCTCCTGGGCGCCTCCCGTTAAAGGTGTCCCGGCACGTCCCACTGGTAGGAGGCCCTGGGGCAGACCCAGAACACGCTGGAGGGATTACATATCTCGTCTGGCCTGGGAACACCTTGGTGTCCCCCTGGAGGAGCTGGAAAGCATTGCTGGGGAGAGGGACGTCTGGGGTGCTTTGCCCAGATAAGCAGATGAAAATGGATGGATGGAAATAGGCAATGCAGGGACAGAATCTTGATTCAGATTTGATCAGTGCTTCCTAGTTTGACAGTTCGGCTACAGTTCATGAGCAGCGATTGACATGATTGACAGCTGTGTTACAGACCCCTCGACTCCTCCTCCTTTTGTTTGTCACTGTTAATTCTAGCAAATGCTATTAGAGACAGCAGGAAGAGGAGGGGGGACATGATTTTTTTCCACAGACTGTCTTGTCCAGTATTTCTTTTAGCGACAGTTTCAGCAAATATGTCAGTTATTTTCATAAAAGTTAGCAAAAGAAAATGGCATCATAATTGAATTGCCTGGATTTCCCTGAAATTCAAACCAGATTTTTCCTTAATGTCCTCCTAATAAATTATGTTTCGTCAACAGGAAACTCTTGGCTGTGTGGAGAAGTCAGAAGATCAGGCCGTCTGTACAAACCGTAAAGAAGACAGCTGGACGCTGCCGGTGGTATGATGGCTGTAGGCCTGCAATTTAAAAAGACTTTTACTGCCATCTAACCAGCACAGACTGTGTAAATATATTTTGTATTTCTGCTGGACGTCAGTCAACTCCTGCCAATTGACCTCTCTTCTGTTTGCATTTCTGAATTGAATGAGAAAAAAAATATATATATGTATAAAGTTGTATTTTTCGAAAATGATTTTATCCAAGTGGGACACGTTTTCATCTCTCATAGGACAGCGTATCCGCCATCTCGACGAGGCTGACAGATTCACATATTAATCATCAGATGGTGCAATCTCTCCTTTTATTACATTTGACTATCACAAGAGCATTTGTGACAAATTATAAAATGAAACACTCCTAAAATCTGAAATCAAATACTGAAAAATCACACTAAATCATTTTTTATTAATTTTCTAATAAGAACACTACAATTTGTCATATTCTTCCTTTTTGTTTTACTCTTTCTAGAACAATTCTAAAGTTGAGGTATAAAAGGAGTTCATACAGACTCACAAGTCTGAAAACAGTGGGGGTTATATACAAGAGAAATGGAAAGACAGAGGTAGAGAGAGGGGTAAATACAAGGGAAAGAGGGGAGATACAAATATACTAAGAATAAAACCAAAGAAATCAAAAGGGTTTCAGGAGCCATTCGGTGCTGTGGAAGTTATTTAGTCACGAGATTTAAACATGATCAACGGTAACATAAAAAGTAGGTGTTCAAGGTTTGCAGATCTGTTGCAAAAATATCACTAAATGTTTACAGTGAATGATCAGGCGTGAAAGTTTTTGCGGTACGCATTATTTTAGGAGGTGAGTTGACATATTGGTGCGTCTGCTTTAATGTGAAAGTCGGCCTCATAGTTGCCTCCAAAAAAAAAAAACCCAAAACTTCCTGTTTCTGCTAAGTACTGTTTGCATACTCAGAGTATGAGAGTAAAACATAAAAGCATTAAAAACCAGAGGCGCTCTCGAGTGCAAACCTCAGTCAAAGCCAAACAAAAGTGAAAAATAATTTGTGTATCAGTCCTGTGACTCAGATCAGCTCTTCTTTCACCCATGCTTTACACTTCCACCAAGTCTCATGAAACTCAGGCCAGTAGTTTCCCTGCTGACAAACTGAACCCTGGCGAAGGTAATTACTGATTTGAATAAACCTTAGGGTTAATGAGATTAACGTTCCACAAAACAGGCAACATCTGCACCTTCACATTATGTTGAAAAAGGCTAGTAAATGTGAAGCTCCAAGAGCATGAATTAACAACGGTCCTTTAGACTGTTAAACAGTTTTACAACTCCTTTTTGCCACAGCATTGACAGAATAAATCTTAAACGATCAATCGACTAGTTGTTAACTATTAAATCAATCGCCAACTATCATTCAGTTTGAGAACGTTTTTGAGAAAAAAGTAAAAACTCCTTGATACCAGCTTGTTAAATGTGAATAATGTCTGGTTTCTTTCCTCCTCTGACAGCAAACTGAATCTCTTTTGGTTGTGGACAAAACAAAACATTTGAGGGTGTTATCTTGGGCTTAGGGAAACACTGATTGACATTTTTTGACACAATTTCCTGACATTTTATAGACCAAACAGCTAATCGAGAAAATAACAACGGTGAAAATAATCGTTAGTTGCAGCCCGAAAACTGAAAGTTCTGATTTCAAGGAATCAGAAAATGATTTAGAAATTAAAGGAAGCACAAATGAGTAAATATTTGTAGTGACAGGAAAAGGCTGGTTGATACAGCAAAGTGCACCAAACAATGTCCACTGGAGAACTTCAATTGATATTTCCACAGCACCAAACGTGGCACCCTTAAACCCCACATTGCCACCCAGTTATGTAACAAAAGACCTAAATAATATTCAAAGTTGATACAGAGTTATCGTGAATCCTGTGACACAAAGGCCAAATAAAACTGGCATCTCAACCAAAACATCAAAGTTTATAAAAGAAAAAAAAAATACTGAAACATTACACAAACTGTACAGTGACATCCATTACAACAGGTAGAAAAAGGGGGAGGGGGGGCATGATAATTTGGTGTGGCGATAACGTTATTTCATAAGATACAGTCGTATGAACTGCGATGAGTAACAAAACGAGTAATTAGATGTGGGATATCACGTGTGACCAGCTCATAAGCTCAAGTTTTGTTCTGTAACATATGGTTTAACAAAGTCTGGACTGACACTTGAATCTTCATAAGGCTGTACCTTACTATCAAAAATGCTTTGTTATTCACATAACAGTTAATGTATAAAATAGTTCCAAAAAGAATGAAAATCCCCCAAAAACGTTGCAGGTTTTTGTCTTAAACACGAGTTTTACCACACCCAGTGCTGCCTCTTTTTTTGGTAACAGAGGAGAGAGAGAAGCCCTTGCCCAATCGGCCGTAGAACTAAAAACAAAATAGTTGTGGTTTTACCAGAAGGTATTAAAGGATGGGTTAAGGGGAGAGCATACCTTCTATGCTCACAATCAAATTACAGGTGTGATATGACAGTCCTCACTCCACCCACCCTCCCATGACGCCCCACAACGAAAAAACCCCAAAAATCAAATCAACTTGAGGCATGACAACACCACACAGAGAGACACAGATACAAATATAATTCCCTCCTCTCCTCGAACTGAAAAGGTGGCTGTGCGCCGACTTTAGAGAGACACAGAGTAGCATTATTACATTGCTGAACGTGGTATTTTTGGTTTTGATACAACAGAAGGTTGTAGTGTGTTGCCTCGGGCTAACAAGCTTTGAATGTTTCAAGATGGGGGGGNGGGGGGGGGGGGGGGGGGGAGGAGATCTCAGTTGAACCCCCCCCCCCCAACCTGGTGTGTCATTGGCTGGTGGAAGCACCCAGTCTCTCTAATGCTTACAAAGGTCAGAGGGCACCAGCCAGTTTGACTAAGACATCCCAAAGAACACTGTACACACGCCCACACAGAGACACACACATCATAGCAATACATGATGCACTTTTTCCTTTTTGGTCTGACTGTAATAATTATACCCTTTTATTTTTTTTTCTTTTGTTAATAAAAACGAAGCTAAAAACTCGGAAGGTTAAATGAAAAACAATAATATCACGCCTAGAAGTCCTACATGCATGGAAGACAGTCACGTTTCTAAATTCATGTCACGTTTGTCCCAATAACACATCGATGCCCCACAATCTTTCCGCCCTTCTCCTTCAACGTCATTTAGATGCTTTATTGAGCTCATTTTTGGTGGTGGCTGGTGCATTCTTGGTGAAACAGCATTAGAAAATAGCCTACAATCAAATAAACTAGTGGACAGAAAGCAAGAAGTAAAGTCTACAAGCCATCTACCAACACCCTCTATTGGTTAGCAACAAAAAGGGCTATTAGTTACATCCACTCAACCAAAGATATTCTCCTCTCTCTGCCCTTTCCTCCTCTTCTCACCAGCCCTATTATCACCTGTCCTGCCTGGTATAGAACAGTGATCCCCTTGACTACCCTTTGACAGGTAGAGACACCCATAACAAGGATGCTAACTTTTGTGCTTGACACATCTTTTATGTCAGCTCACTGTGAAAACGACTGAAAAGTTGTGAGGTGTGTGTTATGGAAGGGGGGGTGCATGCACGTCTGTGCACAGCTCACTTATTTTAAATCTCCAACAGAATGAAACACCGAGCTATAAAGGACTGGAAGATACAACAGTGTCTTGTGTTGAGTTGGCAGAGGGTGATCTCGGAGGAACAGATGTGTTGACAACTACCGGGGCAGCACTTTGGTACGAGCGAGGTGAGCGGAGCTCCCTGGTGATCCGTATCAACAGTTTGGCCGTCAAACGCCAAGGCTTCAAGAGATACAGGCAATCACACACAGTTTTCCAAAGCAAAGGGTCGAGTGCAGAGGTCAACAGCACATGGACAAGCTGTGTGAGTACTGTGTGAAGTTAACGTGCATATACACATAATGTACAGACATCATGATCATCTACACAGCTGGGTCAGTGGTTTTTCAAAAAGTCCTTGATAGTAAAGATGTTTCCTATCTGTCTCAGCATCAGTAAGCTCCGCCCCTCTTTTTATTCTGGAGCTTCTAGCGTTGAAGTGGAGCTGTGGGGTGGAGGGAGAACTCCTCCTAACTACTGTTCAGCTGTTCTGTGTTCCAGCACAGTGTGGTGTTTATGAAATGCGCGCGCAGCCTCTTGCGGCTGTCTAGTTGAGAGACGAGGGAATAGTGAAAAATGAGGACAGAGGATGGTAGTCAGAGCAGACCGCAGTGGGAATGAAGAGATGGCAGGGAGAGCCACCGAATCAGTTGGAGGTGTCGGAGTGGACGCTGCCAGGAGGACCGGGAGGAGAGGTGACCGAGGGGGGGTTGGTGGTGTCCTGCCAGCTGTTAGCCTGCGAACAGTCAGGGAAGAGAGTGTTCTGCATGAAGAAGGAGTTTTATAATTAGTCGTCTAAATCAGCTATATTTGTGCTTACAAGCCAAATGACGCAGTCTCAAGATAGCTCACTGGTTGCAGACAAAATGCGTTTAACTCTAAGAACTACATGTGTTAACACATAATATCAGCTGCTTACACTCAGTTTTCATCCACCCAAGTAAGGTTACTCAGAGAAATCAGAACACGTATTCCTACTGACTGTAACCCAGTAATTTAATGAGGACCTATTATCTTCATTTTCAGGTTCACACTTGTATTTTGGGTTTCTGCTAGAACAGTGGTTCCCAACTGGTGGGTCGTGGCCCAAAAGTGAAGACGGAGTCAGATTTAACGTCCGCCACCTCGCTAGTCGGCACCAGAAATATTTAGCAGTTAAACCCATTAGTGTTTTATTCATGTACAAGGCCACTTAACTGTCATGCAGACACCCGCCACTAGTGGGTGCTACAGAGCCGTCAGACAGCAGTGCCCCTCACCGCTGTTAAGCTCGAGCAGACTAAAATTTTAAACAGCACGGTGGGAAATTGGAGCTGTCGTCTTTTTAGTCCTTTTTTAGACTAGTCAACTAGTCTTAATTAAATTTTTCATTTAGTCTACTGGGAATTAGTCGCCAGGAACATCCCTAGTCTTTGGTATCTCAATATCTCTGCAACTAAACACAATCAGACATGTTCAGCAGGAATATAATCTGAAATTGGCAAGAAAACAACCAAGAATACAGGTTTCTTAACGTACCCTACATGTAGCAGTGTAGGCTATCTAATGTAAACATATAAAGTATCATGTCAGGAGCAGATGACCATATTAAGAAATCAGGCACACTATGATGTCGTGCTGTAGCCAGAGTAGACCAAACAGTTGGAAACGAGTATTCAGAGCGGACTGAAGCCTGAAGTTTTTGCTCAAATGAATTACCACTCAGTGCAAATGTAAATCATCACAAAAGGAGCTTGTACTCACATCCAGGCGATGAGGGGTGTAGAGGCCACTACCCGACAGCTCCTCATAGCCGCCCGTCAGGTGTGTAGCACGGTGCAGGGTATCCACCTGTCAGAGACAAAACACACCCACACATTTTACAACTAATTTCAGCACTTATAGAAAACTAATGCTTTTTTAAACTAAACAACCACAGGCCGAACAGAGGAGTGATGGACTCCACAAACCTCTACTGTATGCATCAGAGCCAGTCTGTATTACTGACTGCTTTTCCTGCCAGTGAGCTCGTTTTAATGACAGTTGTTTTCCAGTCAATGCCGCCACTAAACATTGTGGCTCATTCACGACTCCCCATTAAACCACTTCTGCTCTAATTTCCATGAAATGAGGGACTGCACCCAAAGCCAAACGGCAAGCTTGTATGTTTTTTTTAAATGTTATATTTCAAGGCTATATAGCGCTTAACAGTAGAAATCTGTGAAATCCTCCGGAACAACAAAACTATACATGTCTATCAACAGACAACAATCACAAGGACAGTTCAGCTTGAGGACATTTCTTTTTGTTCTACGTCAAGGGGTGAACATATGGAGAGCTGGGATGGAGGAACGAGTGGAGAGGGCAGGGAAAAACAAGAACTAAAAAGGCATGTGGCTGTAGGAGGAGTTGTCCCGCACTGACCATTGATCAGAGGGTTTGTTGGTTCAATACGCTGATATTGCAGCTCTATTTCACAACTATGAGTCTTGAGGCAGGCCCTGATACCCCTAAACTGTTCCAGGGGTTCTTTGCTGAGCTCTCTTAAATATGTATGGGTAGGAACTATGTGTACATGTAGCTATTGAAGGATATGCAACAACAAACTGACATAATTCTTCTTGAGTGAAGCCATATGCTCCTCAGGGCTCAATGTACAGAGCAAAGAAGGGTCAGTTTGTGTGTGTTTGTGTTGGGGAGGAGCTGATGGGGTCAAAGGTAAAGTCAGGACGGGATCTGAGGAGAGGTTGAGGTCAAAAGGAGCTAGGCTAAGGGTAGGTATCCAGGGATTCTGGGTTGACGGCATTGAGGTCAACTCTGCAGCTGTCCTCAGTGCATACCTGCGACTGTAGAGAGGGGGCGATGCTGAGACCCTCCCCGTTGAGCGAACGCAGGCTGAGGTAGGCGTCGCCTGTGTGAGACAAACTGTATGACCCCGGTGACCCTGCAGGCAATATATATAGCCAATATCCAATCAGCACAACCACAGTGCCATGGGGTCAAAAGGTCACCACTGGTCACGGACATTGACTGAAAGAAGTAAATTCTAATAACCAGCTTTAAAATGCCGGTCAGTGTTCTCAGCCAGCTTATTCTGAATGGAGCATTTTACAAGTCTGAAAGCCTGGCTTCTTTTCGGCACACACAACAGCTGCACACACCAACTGCTGAAACGTGTGCCAGCTGGAAAATAAAACCATAAAAAAGAGGTGTGTAATTCCAATATTTACAAACACACATTTTACAGCTGCAAAAAGTGAATTTGGTTTTCTTTGGCTTAGCTGCTCTCCTGTGTGGGGATTACAAACTGGGCTTTTCATTAAGGAAAGCTGAATGTGACACATTTCAGTTCCCAAGAGCTGGTGGTGTTTGTCTGTCATCGTGGGCGACAGTCAAGTCAGGGCTAGGCAGTGATGGAGGACATAAGGAGTTTCACTTTGTGGACGTGTAAAAACGCTCAGAATGCCTGATAGTGACCAAAAGCTACTTTTTTGACAGTAGGATTCATCGTTTGTGTTTTAGTGTGCTTTTACCATGAAATCAAAGATACATATTTTTCCTCTTACCTGTAGTGGTGTTTATCAATCTAGATTATTTTAGTTAGAGTGTTTGAGATATGTCTGCCTTCTCTCGAATATAATGGAACTGGATGGCACTCTGGTTGGGGTGCTCAAAGCGCTAAAAAAGCAGATGCACGTTGTTGTCGTTGTTGGTTTAATACTTAGTTTGAAAATGCACAGGACATTAACAGATCATGATTTGAACTGAACATTAATGAACGGTGCAACACTGCACACATCTGCCTTTTTAGTGACTTGTTGTACGCTATAACCCTCTTTACTGTATTTACACTTCCTTTTCTCCTCCCATAGACAGTGACATATCTTCTGGTCAACGCAGCCTGCTGCAGCGCCACCATTTTCTCTGTGTCCAGTAACAAAAAAGGAAATGGTGCATTTGTGACGCCACACATTCTCTTATGTCTAGTATCACTTCTTATTTATAAAAATAACTTCTCACAGAGACAGCTTCGAGTTTAGTCACTCTTAAAAGGTTTCAACAACTTGGCTGTTCAAAGTGGTCCCCATTTGAAGCCATAAGAAGGGAACTGACTACATGATTCGAACGTTTGAATGATCACCTACTTGGTCCTTTCAGCTTCCTTTCCAAATTGGCGTTACCATATTATTTCTGTGTGCTGAGTGTTAAATAATGGTATAAAATAATGCAATGTACTACACAGATGCAAAAACTGAGGCAACGCACACAAATAAGCAATTAAATGAAGACCAATGGGAATGTTTTGTGCAAAGAAAATATGGGAGATGGACAGAAAGTATGTGAAGCAGACGTGAGTGAGTCCCTCTAACTGATACCCATGAGTGTCACAACAGTCCCAAGTTATATTTAAGTGTCTGAAAAGCATCTAACACATGACACAGCACAAGATGGATGCAAGTCTTGACCTACAGACAACCTAAGACCACGACTATCCTGCTGATGACACTCAGCTTGAGATAGCGCCAAAAAAATACATTTGAAAAACTAAACAGGAATGTCTTGTTCCAGAAATCATGACCTGTTTATTAGGGATAATATAAAGAGCTTGTTGTGAGCAGTTTCATATAGGAACTATTTCTACTGAACTACACCTGCCAACTGTGTCACCGTGCATCTATTCATGGACAAGAAGCTTGTTCTTGTGACAGCATGAGATGTTATATTTATGGCGTCCTCCTCAGTTGTGCTGTAACTTTAGCTAGCTCAGTGGTGCTGGACAAACAAGCAGTAGATGCACGCTTACGCCTCCTTTCCACTTACTAAGTGACTGGTGTCCATAGATCCATAAATGTACGAATGATGCCTCTAGTGTCCAACGCAAGGAAGTGCATTTCTTTACGGATAGATAGAAACCTGATAGAAACTACCTGTAGCCTTGAGAGAGAGGCTAATTTTGTCCAGTTTTCGCCATCCAGTACTTTGGAATATGCGCTTGGAACGTTACCGGGACAAAAACAGGACCAGTTTTGCATGGCAACAAATAAATGAATATGTTGGCCTGCCAGGTATGCAGCATGTTTGGTAAAATATTTAATTAGAAAGACCGAGTCATAATGACGATCTGACTGTGTATGATGTATAACCATATTTTAGCAGAATAACATTACTCACATTCACAGTGTGTTCAGACTGGATAAATAGGATCTTTTTAATCATACAAACTCATCTGACAATCAACACAGGCAACTGAATTGAAGAAAATTGCCTGTTAGCCAGTTAGTAGCCTGTTAGCTTAGCTAGCACACTGTCATACAGCCTCTCCGAAATCCATCACAAATGTTCAAAAAAATTTTTAAAATTTTATTTTTAAAACATATTCGATGAAATATTATGGAGGGGAGGAGTTTTGCAGGCACAACGGGTATCACTGAGATTCCCACAGGAATGGACTTCCGGTCGCCTCATCTCCATACACATATGCAAGTGGAAAAACGGGGCGTAACGTCTGTGTGATGATTCGATTGGAGGGTGTAGTTAGGCACAAGTAAAATAGTTCCAATATGAAACTGCTCACTACAAGGACATCCCTGTTGAGTTTTTCCATATGTATTTTTTTGGCGCTTTGAGCATCACAAGTTGAGCGCAATCTAATTCTATTATATGCAAGAGAAGGCAGTCAACTCTACAGGCGATATCTCCAACACTCGGCAACTCACACCAAAACAATCAAGACTGACAAATAGCACTACAGATAATAACTGTCCCTTTAGAAGCATTAGCTACTTTTTAATCATGGGGATAGAGTTTAACATAGAGTTTAGAAGGAATATGTCAGGAAACGAAAAAATTAAATGCTTCCTTGTGAAATAATGGAGGGTAACAAGGCAACCCTAGGGGAAAAGAGATTTAGACAATGCTGCATATTATTGTCACATTTTTAATATTTTCAGATCTTTCATTATCGTCTTTGTTAGATTTAGAATCCTTCATTTGAAGCCATGATTAAAAAGACAGTGTAAAAGTGTGCACTACCCTTAACAGCTGGCTTGCTGCAGCAGTCCTGGATGAGTTAAGATTGTATCTAGGTTCCTTATTACACATAACTATGTTATATACTACGCTGCTGAAGATAACGATTTACCAGTCATTTATTGCTATAAATACAGAGGATAATTTCACATAAATCTGAGCACAATCTGCGGAGAAGGGGGCTGAGAGCATATTTACAGTCCACAGTATGGGGGTTTCCTTTGAACATTCAAGTCAATCCTTCATACAGTCATATTGTGGTTTAGTTGTGTTAAAATGAAAGTGTATGAAAAGGAACCGAAGCCTGTTAATGAGAAGTGACAGAGCTTGTGGGGAGACGAGATGGAGCGTGGGGTACCTGAGTTGGGCGTTGCCGGAGAGTTAGCCTGGCTAGCCTGCGCAGACACATTGGCAGCATCCACCGCTGTTTTCACTGCGTAGAGGTTCGCCTCCTCCTGGAACTTACCAATGTTCTTCTTGTAGCGTATTCTCTTGTTGCCAAACCAATTAGAGACCTGGGGGACAGAGTGATGTCAGAGATTCATATGCATTGTTTCCTTTGCATTAATTTAGCTGCTGTAGCTTCACTGTAGCCCCCTCAGCTAAAAACTTAAATTTGAATTCAACTTTCATCAGCTAGCTTTACATCTCTGCTTGTCAGCTTTTTTTTTTTACTTATTAAAATGTGTCCAGATTGTATTATATACATTTCCACACAGATCTGTTCGCTCTGTCAAGCTCAAAAAACATTTTTTAAGCATTTACACTTATGTTCAATGTGGTCACAACGCATCCGTGACCACCTCCAGAGGCGGTTTGGCCGATCAGATCACAATCTGTCCTCAATACATTTTGGGTCCATTTTCACCTATACTTTTAAGCACTATCTGATTGTAAACAAAGGTGTAAAAGGGGTCAGGGACATGCGATCCAGCTTTCACAAAAACAGCTCCAGTTTCCTGAGTATTTGAGGTGTAGCAATTCACCTGAGACACAGTGATCCCACACTTTTTGGCCAGTTCCTCCTTGGCTTCCTCACTGGGGTAAGGGTTAGACAGATGGGAGTAGAAATACTCGTTCAGCACCTCTGTAGCTTGCTTGTTGAAGTTGCGCCTCTTACGTCTGACACAGACAGAAGAGATAATGGCCAACATGCTTGGAATGTTCAGGTCTGACACCACGTCAACATGCTCAGATCACTTCAGCCCACAAGAAAACAACCAGTCATCCAGAGCGCGCACACACACACACACACACACACACTCACACACAGAGAAAGGCACACACAGACAGACCTGGCGTCAAGGAAGCGTGAGCGCAGAATCATGACGGCTTCGCAGGTGCTCTGTTTGAGCTGCATCTGAATGGAGCTGAACTTGCGGTGGATGATGGCCACCATGCGCTCAATCTCTTTGGGAGAGATGGGCCGTGTGCGAGACTGCTCTCTCAGCAGGTTCATTACATGGTTGGTGAACTCACTGCAGGCCTGGACCAAGGAGAGAGAGAGAGAGGAGTTGAATACTACTGCAAAAAGATAGCACGAGCACAGATTCTGTCCACTGCCGTGACATAGTTTTGATGATGACATGCCTCGGGTGTCTGACTCGTCTGTTGATCAGCTGCCTTCATCTTTTTTTAAGAAAAATAGAGTAATATCAGAATACCTTCTTTGTGAGTTAGTTGGAGCACTGAAAAGATATTACACACTCTGCAGCTTTGAATCTCCAACCTACATCAGTGAAACACAGGTACTAAAAGCAAGAAATGTTTTTCCATGTGGTCTTGGAGAGAACATCATCTCAATGTCTGTTAATACAATTTATGAACATTTGTGTAATCAAATCTAACATCAAAATACATTTTCTTGCTTTATAATGAAGCCACTATCTTTATCCATCCGCTATTTAATCAGTTAAATTTTTAAAAAAAAGCACATTGAATGACTTTATGAATAAGAGTCCAGGAGCAAGATGCATAAGACTCTGTGTAGGTTGACAATAAAAGCAGTCTGTTGCACAAAGACAGAAAAGTATATACACATTCCTTTTCCCACATTTATAAAGACACAAATAAAGCTGAGTGCACATGCTCGAGCCTTACTTCCACACCCAGTTAGCCATAAATGGATGTAGAGACACCCTCAAGCAACTTTGCATATTGATACTTTTGCCCACTCCACCACTCATTAGACCTGTCAATGATAAATACGGCAAAGACAGGGCAATTGCACCGACTGTGTCGCATCCACAGAGTTCTTTAACAGCAGAGCAGCTGTCATAATACACAGCTGTGGCGTTTTGTAGTGTCCGTAATAGTAATTCATCACATTTCTACAAACCATTACTGTGGTAAAAATTTAAATTATAGTTATTATTTAACATCAGCAGGAAGATCAATGATTCATTCAAAGCTGACTTGCCTCAGAACTGAGGATGAAACTAAATCATTAACAGGATGATGATGGCTCAAATCTAAATAAAAACATTTAAATTCATCACTCACAAATAATTAAAATTCATTTAATATATGTGCCTTTGACTGACATTTTACTGAATGCTGTGCTGCCTGCGAAAATAATATCATAATATCTGAACCTGGCAAAACCCCTAAAAACAATGTTGCATCTCTGCATTTATATTCAGTCTCCTCTTGTCACCCGCAGCTATCTCAGGTAAAACCGTGCGCACACTCTACCTTAATAAATACCAGTGTATGTGTGGGAAAAGGCATATGCATGGTGTTTATACACTTGGCCCCAGATTTTCATTCCAACTCGACAACACCAAATGTTTTCGTAGATTATGTGCTGACTGGTTAAAGCTGAAGTCACCTGGTGTACTCCTTGTTTAAATGATGCCTGCAGACTCTCAGCTGCCTGAGGCATGTGGTTGCCAATCCTTGCACGCTGTCATTCCAAACAACAAGACAGCAGCTAATTATAGCAATTAACATACCTCCTAACTTGAAAACAGAAATAATCGTTCTTGTGGTGTTACATATTCTAACGGTACAACAGTTTACTATATATGTCTCACATTTAACTCAAAATGATTTTTACTAAACTGGTGAACCCAGGTACAGAGGAATCCTCTCTGACCTCAATTAATTTAACTTGTTAATTTTACCCAAAATTAAATCAAAAGAGCACTGCTTTTACTTTCACATTGTGCTACATTCCTGCTAATGTGCAAATGTATGAATCAAAGACTTAAAATAAGGTTCTTCTCCACCTAAATTCTCCTAGAAGCAAAATATAAATAAAATTGTTTATTGGATTTATGGTGATGCGCTGTAAAGCATCCCTGGATGTCTGAGTTAACGCAGGACAAGGACGAGGATTCAGTGAGGTAACATTAGCAATGTAACTCTTCTTTGCCTTCGTGCATTCACCGTACTGCCGTTTGCTGTGTTTTTCCAGCTGGTTGAACGAGTTATTTGTGTTGCTTTGCAGTGTAGACACAAGTCTCATGCACTCTAAGTCTGAAATACTTCCAAACAAAGGATGATGATCCATGTAGTTGGACTAGCTCCTCGCCTTCTGCTCCAGACATTTGATCTTTGTTTTGCCCATCTGCTCTCTGTTGTATATTACTCCTCTACTCTAGTCTGGACTGCAGCTGCAACTTTAAGAAAGTTTTTTCACAGGCTGCGCTAATGGGTATGTGTGTGATGAAACAGGGGATTGAGGGTTCCAGCATTATAGTGAATTTTTATGCACCTATTTGTGCCTTTTTAACATAAATCTTTGGTGTAAATATCTCTATATTTGGCAAAATCAAAGTCCCTTGCTACTTTCATGTTTTTAATTGTGGGGCAAATGCACGTGTTCTAAATACTGAAGGGGGCGTACCCCCTGCGTCCTCCCTACAGCTATGTGGGAAGCTAAAATCGTTATTAAGATTAATATTCCATTAGCTGTGCAGCCCTACTTAATAAATGTGACTAACAGTATATGTTCAAGCATTTAAGTCTGCTCTGCACACACCTGCTCATACTTCTCCAGCTCAGAGTGATAGATCTGGCGAATCTGGGCGAGCTTGGCTCTGTAATCGGAGTGTTCGATGCTGCTGTCGGTAGGCGAGCCCCCCGCTGCTGCTGCTGCTGCAGCCGCTGCAGCCGATCCGCCACCCTTCTCTGGTCCTGACACACCCTCTGCTAGCAGCATGTTGTCCAACCGCATGATCTGGGGATCTGGGGGGTCCTCCTCCTGCACTCCTCGTATACTCAGTACTGGACAGAAGAAGAGAGAGAGTGTAGGAGTTAGACAGGCAAGGTCAGCGTTCACCTGCTCAGAATAAAAATCCTGTTTTTCTTACAGTTTGCCTGAGCCTCTCTAGGGCTGAGAAAACCTGTTGTTTATAAAGTTTTTGAAAACTGACAGACCACACATTTCCCTTCAAGGAGAAGGCTAATACTGTGGGTTCTAGGGGGTGCATAGGAAGATACTTTATCACTGCTAAAATTCAAAGAAAGTGCAGCCCTGCCAAAACCCAGTCAAGTTTCTCCCCTGAGTCATTGCTATGAGCGCCTGGCTGAATTCTCAATGAGCCTGAACTTCCTCTAAATCAACAGCAGAGGGCAGTGTGGTCCCTCTGTGGCAGGCTGCCAAAGATAAGGGCATGAGGCATGGGACCAGTAATGGGAGTGCATGTGCTGTCACTATGAGCCCCAGTGGCCATAAGTATAGTTATCAGTTGCTGCTCTCCACCACTGCATTATACCAGGACCTCTGTCAGCCTGCAGCCATGCTCTCATCTCTCTCTCTCTTTCACACACACGCACACACACACCCCTTTACAGATACCACTCCGTTACTGAAAAGTTTAGTACAGACAACCATCTTTTCTTCGGAGCCTCAAGCTTTTAACACTTAATAAAATTTTCTCTCGCCCCTTTTGCTTCTCAATCATTCAACTTCAGAAAGTTCAGGCAGAAACTTGGTATCACAAACAAAAGTCTTGGGCACATTATTAATGAACAGTTAATTTATTTTACAAATCGTCATAATTAGAAATAAAACACATGGTGTTAACAGTACCAATACGCAAATCAAAAATAACTGTAGAGGGGGAGAAAAAAAAAGTCACTTTTATTGCATTTACTCACAAACAGCTTTTTATTGCTAATTAGAGAAAGGGCAACATATTAAAGCTCCAGTGATTGGTTGACTAATCAATAAGCCAATCCACAGAGAATTAACATCAACTATTATGATAACTAATAAATAGTTCCCTAAATTTTTCAAGCATAAATGGTATAGCATAACATTCACTGACTTGCATGTGAGGATTCCCTGATTTTCTCTATTTTACACTGTAAGCTAAATATATTTTGAATTTGGATATTTGAATATTTGAGATTTGAATATGCTTAAGTTTGTGTACAATAATAAAATTAATACATTTCGGTTAAGGCTGGGCAATGTAAAGATATCATACTGATATTGTGATATGACACTAGCAACTGTCTTAGTCAGTGTCGTCTTTCCCTAGTTTTAAAGGCTGCATTACAGTTAAAAGATGAAATTTTCTGAACTTAGCAGACTGTTTTAGCTGTTCTATTATTTGCCTGTACCCACTTAGTCATGATATCCACATTAGTAATTATCATTTTTTAAAAGCTCACTGTGTAAATCAACCTTACACTATCAGTGCAATGTTTATATTGAGGTATTTTGTCAAAAATACTGTGATTTTTTTTTTCTCCAAATCATCAAGCTCTACATTTTGCATATATATCTTCATTACAAAAGAGGGTAAGTTGTTGATGCAGCATTTGTAAACTCATATGGACTGGGGTTGCAGCAGTATACCATGAAACCATATACCATGGTGTGAAAATTGATATTTTTCACATCATGTACATTTGCTAATCTTTGGAAAAAATGAAATCAGATGGAGAATATCACCTGCATGTGCGCGTCTCCTTTACTCCTTGACTACCTGTCAGTCATTTTACACATATTTTCATGTGATAAAGCATTTGTTCAACCAAGAGAAATCTTATAATTATTAATAATAATTGTGTATTACCACTTACTGTGAGAATTCAGATGGTCATTGTACCGTGAAAAGTTTTGTCACTCATGGAGACCAGTGCAAAAATGTTAAAATGTGAATAGTGAAATACTGGTTCAGTCATATATTAAGAAACTACTGGGTCCACATTTATGTTTATCTAATTAACGGGAGACTAAATGAAGGAGGTAAAAGCCAATTAAAATAGTGTTGAAACCAGACAGGATTCTGCAGAACACAGACGCTAACAATATGTATGACAAGATTAATCCCAGTGGAAACTGGGTTAGGCGTTTGTCCTCCTTAAGGATTACGCTAGTTAGTCAAAGCTCATCATCAGAGGTTAAGGGGTGCAAGAACTCACTCATTCACAGCCTCTCTTGTTAGCACAACTCCTACAATCTTGTGATTCTTTATGTTGTTGTCAAAGAGTCATGCTGAAAAAAAAAAAAGAAGTTTGCCGCCATGGAGCAGTCAGAGCTAACAAATGAGTGGAGCTGCACTGTAGCACTAACAGATGTGAAAGAAATGAGGACAAAAACAGTTTTGCTTAAAGTTTCCAAGTGCTATGAAGCAGATGAGTTTTTGCTTTTTCAAACTTCATTTGATAAATGAGTCTGTTCCACCATTTAAGGCCTCTTGTAGCAGAGCGTCCAACTTTCCCTCCCCTTTTTTTCTTGTTCCTTCTTGCCTTTTTCTTTCCCTCTGCTTAGGTCTCTTCTCTCTCCAAGGCACATTCCTGCTCCGCTGCTCCCCCATCTCAGGGCTCAGGAATGCAGCAGACCCAGCCGCCTGAACTAATGACCCTGATTCGCCCATCTCTTTCCCTCCTCTTTTTCCTTGCTTTCAGCCATTCACCAACGATCTCTGCACTTCCTTGTCGGTAAACCTATAGCTAATATATTGATCAAGCACCAGAGGTATTTGTTCTGTACCTGTTGAATCTACTTGACTATTTAGATGCTGTGTCTACGCTCGGATGGCAGTTAAAGTTTTGTGCGCGCTGTCAAAATTTAGGCCATCCCACCACGTACATTTCAGACTGTACGTAGTCATGTGTGGGGCAGATCTTCACTGTCCATCCACTGAGAAGTACAACTGACCTACAGTGAAGAGGGCAACTGTGGCTCTTGAAGCTTCTCACCTCTCCCCCTCCCTTTTGCCCCCACTCCTCATTATGGCCCCCAGCTGTAGCCTAATGCCCCTACATTCCCCTAATTACTCCAATTAAGCTGTGATTACCCACAATTGCACTCATGCACAGTCTAGTGGCCTAGTGGTATTATAGCAGCTGCTGAGATGAGTTAAGATACTGCACAGAAAAAGACCATATGACATAGACACAGGTAAAAAAAGAGAGTCCAAACATCTCCCACTCACAAAACTACCATGCTAATCCGGGGCGGTACAAACAATAATAAAAATCTACAGGTCTGAAAGCTGGCTGGCTGCTTTGCCAAAATCTAAGCAGCGTTTCCTTTTGATCAACTAGCTCCTGACATCGCCGCTGGGCTGGTTCTGCTACTGAGGGACGAAAACTCAAGAGCGCTGTAAGTAATGATACTTAAATTCCCCTTTTTTAAAAATAGGAAGACAACTAAAGGCCCACAGCCTGCATCCACAGCTCTTAGAAATCACACCATTATGCACACGTTACCACCCTAGCTGGGCTGTGTGGCATTGAGAGACGGAGCGAGCAACACATACTATGAAATATTCAGGGTATCCAGCTGGGCTTTCACTGCATACATAATCATTCTCATTTCTGCACAGCCAATGTAGAAACGGTGCACTGTGCAGACACAACACACAATATATGAAGTGGTGCAGGTAAGGGTGAACAACCTATCCAATAGTGTAGTGCTGTACATTAACTGTAATGCCTTCCACACATAGGAATAGATAAGACTTAAACGCAGTCAGTATATCATTGCTCAGCTCACAACACAAGCTTTATCCTTGTCTGTCTTTTCCCTCGCTAGCATCCCCTTTTTCACTCTGTCTCCCCCCAACACACATCCCCTCCCCCCTCTCCCTTTCAGCGCACCCCCACCCACCTCCCCGAGTGCCCCCCCTCCCTCCCTCTGTTCTCCATTTCAGTCGAGTTCTCCATGTGAGCCGCAATCCCTCATGCTGTCAGCCCCCCCTCTCCCTCTCTCTGTAGACAGACAGGATTAGCATTTTAATTGCATCAGCTCCCTTGGGTATTCTCAGCCTTTCACTGGGAGAGAGCAAGGGAGCGGGAGAGAGAGGGAAGGATAGAGAAGGAAAAAAAGGGGAAAAAAAGGTAAGGAGAGAGAGGGTAGAAGGAGAACCAAGGAGAATTGAAAAAAGGAGTCACAGGAGAAGATATGTGTGCGAGAGAGGAAGAGACACAGAGAGGGAGACGGAGAGAGAGGCTAAAGAAATATACAGAATCCAGAGTACAGACGTGCCAGAGAGCGAGCGAGCCAGAAAGAGTGAAAAGATAGGACTGTGAAAACATCAGTTTTTCCTTTCATTACAGACAGAGAATTCAGATAAAGAGAATGGGCCATAGAAAGATGCTTTTCACAATGAAAATATGCTACATGAATATGCAAATCTACCGCTCAAAAACAAATCTCGACTGGAGCTCTGGAGCTATGATAGGTAAAACCTTGCATGAGGATTAAAACTGTTTGCAGGATGTAAAATAGTGCCTGGGCAATACAAATGTAGCTTAGGAAAATCTGCCTATTTAAACTACTCTTTCAGATTTTCACTCTTAAACAGAATAAACCTCTCCCTGTACCATGCATGGCACTGAAGAGAGTTACTTAAAACCCGCATGGTTGAATTTGGTTCCATGAAATACGGCTCTAGATTCAAATTTTGGGGTACCTTAAGCAGAAGTGTTACAAAACCCAAACATGACCAGGCTAGTGTTGGACAATATGACTGTATATAGCCTACAGGGCAAGAGTCGAAATAAGGTATGTGTCAATACCAAAAATATAGTAGTCCATACCAATACCAGTGAAATTCAACAATTCTCAATACCCAATCTAATACCTTGGTTAAAAACAAGAACGAAAACAAAACAAAAAATCCTATGTAGGGCCACAACAAAGTCCCTTCTTCATGCCTCCTTTGCATTTTCAAACAGAACCAAACAGCGGCGTCATCATTTCATTCCAGAATCAAGAGGTACGACAGGCGTGACATGTAATCTAACAGCGTCAGCCTCTTGTG